TGTTGAGCTATAATCAAAATCTCATTTAACTTAGAATTATATAATATATAGTTTACATTTGAATAAGTTAGTTGTGCCTTAAGAGACACGTTTCTACTTGTTCAAATGAACAGTTGTAACTCTAGGATAAGTCGTGTCTTTTTTCGTTTCACAAACACTGATCCGTGTTGGAACATATAAATATGTAAGTTAGAGACAAAACTCTCTGTGTGTTATATACTCTGTTTTCTTTGTTTCTTAATAAAGTTTCAGTTTAATACTTGAAACTTTTCTATTCTTTTCTTACAAACCCAAATCTCTTGATACTCGAACAATCAAGATGTCGCTACATCACCTATCTCGGTCTTGTGTCACCAAATCCTCCTTTTTATTTGTTTTTGAGTCTTTCTTTAGCTATCCACATTACCTCGAGGTCTCTTGTTTTCTCTTATTTTTGCTATTTTCTTATTTGAGCGTTAGAGAGCCGTCGAAAAACACCTCCAAATCGTGTTTTCTAGCCTTCATGTATTTGTTGATTGAGCATGAGATTGTTCCCCCAGTGGTCGTTCAAAAGTACCAAAAACCTCTGAAACCATTTGGCGCTAGAAAGAGGGGGAAGGAAATTACTCTGTTAACCAAATGGAAAAATATTTGGTAGCTACACCAAGTATAGTCCGTTACATGGCTACACATCCCAACTAGTATTGACATAGTGACATACACAGACATACATAAGTCATGGTGCCAATACCACAACTATTAATTCATCAATAATTATTTAACATAATCACTAAATCTGACTAATCCAATTAGAAACTAACTCATACCTCAAAAAATTGAGTGAGTTTTTAATCTGACCGAATACAAAACTAAGCCCAAATCACATGATCTGACTTAAACTACACCTTCTTTCGGTAAATACCAACTAGATTTTTCACGATAAAGGATGAGGAAGAAGAGGAAAGGAGATTTGTTTGAGAAAGAAGATGGTTTGTGGAAGAAGAATTGAATCATGTGAGATTTCTTTATGTTTATACCTTGTTGGAGCTCGATTTTGATAAAAGTGATGAGCAATCAATTTGATAAGTTTGTGCAACAAGTGAAAAAATTGATTATTATATCTAGTTGTTTATATTTTTCATGGTAAATGAACTTATATTTTTCATGGTAGATTAATTTAAGCTTGTAGAGGTTGAAAATGTGTGATTCTGATTTGCCAGGAAAGGTTTTCAAATCATGGGCGGAAATGAATCCGGGTCGAAGGTTCTTGGGTGTGAGTTGTATAATGTATGTAGATTTACTCGATATTGAGCTGGTGAAATCGTTCCTTACACAAATAAACTGGTTTGGTGTGGATTTATGATAGTGGCGGTTATCACTTTAACTACTTACAATGGTTTGATAACATTAATTTCAAATTTATACAAACAAATCATACCGAAAAGATAAATAATAGCTTATCAAAACGGTGGTAGCTCACAAATCTGTCTTAATCGCCGATTCTAAGCAACAATTACAAAACTTTTTTCTCTTAAGAACTCTATTTAATTTTTTACAGAGGAAGTCGCTATAAAAAAATATTATGTCAGTAACTCTGGTAGTTAAAGTAAACAATAATTTAATTGGAATGTGTAGCTATGTTACGGATTATATTTGGTGTAGCTACCAAACGTATTTCCTAACCAAATCAATAAACTGGCTCAGGTATCCAACAATACAACAAAACTTTCCATAGATCCACAACAACAAACTCATGAAAGGCCTCACGTGCCGCCAAGATTCTCGCTAACTCAAAAACAGAGTAACGTCCGCGAGAATCAGACATTGCGAATCCTCGGTTGCCTTTGTTTCTCCCAAATGATCGTCTAACATATT